GGGCGTTTCCCCTTCTTCACTTCCAGAATCCTTGTTATTGCTGCCCTACTACTGGACTGGTCTGTGGACCTATGTTGTTCTCACCCCATCACAGAGCTTGGTTCACCCCACCTACCTATCACTTCAAGGGCCCCACAGTTCCCACCTCGTTGCAAAATCCCAACCCTGTCAGATAACTCCCATCCTCCAGCTCTGCTTACTCTAGAGCTCAAATCCTACCTACCACTTCAGCCCATAGCCAAGGTCCTCCAGTCTTCCTGCCCCAAACCTGCATCTCCAGTCTTCAGCAGCACACACCAGTCCTGGGATCTTCTTCTTTCATTCCCTGAGTGAACACCTCATATTTCTTAATAGCTTCCCCCAGGTTATAGCTTCACCATGTGTCCAGCCCTAATCCATGCTGAAACTGGACTTTTCATCCCACAGGTCCCCCTTCCCCAGCCACTCTCCTGAGTATTTTACTGCTCCCAGCCTAATCCCGTCTCCTCACCAACCTATGCCAGAGCATCAGAGGGTCTGTTTCTCCCAGCCTAGAGTGCCCATTTCTCTATCCTACAGTCACCAAAGGCTTCATGCCCTCAAGTCCATCCATGTCCATTCAAGAGCTCTGGCTTCCTAATTAAGATGTTACATTTCCCAGCCTTTTCCAATCTCACTATTACCTTCTCCTCGTGAACCCATACTGGAAGCTTAGCACCTCAGTTCCCTCAAGGTTTTTACACTGCATTTTGCAGTTCAACAACAGCTCCCAGAGGTTGCCTCCATCCCAGACCATTCCACTTCTCAGTCTGCTATATCGCCTCTCCTGATACTTCCTGTCCAGCTCCTCATCCTCCTTCTGTTTTCCCTGTTTTGACATCTTCTAGTACCTGACTGCACTATCTCCTCATTAGATGCTGTACTTCACCTTACTGCTTGAATTATCAGTTGTCTCCCTTACCCCTCTTGTCTTCTGCTCTGGCACTCTGCCTTGCAAAAGCAAATTCCCATTTCTTGCACTGGTGAGGTTTTCAATACGCCAAACAATTGAAGAACATGTTAAAGAGTCCACTGAGTTTTAGAAAAGAAAAATTCTATCTGGAAAAAGGATAGACTATCTGTGGTAACCCATGGTAAAACAACGATACTCTTGTTAGTGATAGGGGCATGCAAGTATGAGAGATGGTGAGCTACACAAACTATCAACTAAAATCAGTAGAGATTAAAGGAGAGCTGCTAGAGGACAGAGATGTGAACACAAAAGGAGGTCAAGATGTCAAGTAGAGTATGAACAACTGGACTGAGGTGCATGACACTCACCCAGATGAGGAAGAACTAGTATGGCTGAGCTTTAATAAGAAAGTGGTCATTACAAATGCTGGTAAGAACAGCCTAAGGGGCTGTACCGGACTTTTAGAGGTCCAAGAGAAAAAAACTCCAGACAGTGAATAAACAGTGTGCCTAAAGACTTTAGAGATGAAAGACAAAAAGGTAGTAGGGTATTCTTGCAGAAGCAAGTATAGAGGCTATTACAATGATAAAAACCAGTAGATATGTTTGTTTTAGGAAAGGAGAGGGCTGGACGAGACCGAGAGATTCAGAAGAGGAAAACAGGGATGAGAGTAGACATAAAGAAGATCTGGAAATGGGATAGAATGAAATTTTATGGGCAGGTGAAAAGGGTAAAGGGCTACAGGAAACAAAGAGGTGAGAAAGTCCTCTGTTTATGATAATGAAGAAGAACAAAGAGAGAAAGGTAAGAGGAGAAGACAGAGGAGGAAAGCTAGTCCAGGAAAAATATGTTCCTGTAGAAAACATGAGAAAAGTTTCACCTATCACCAAGAGTGAGAGTAAGCAGAGCTTCTTTTCAAGTGCCAAGGCACACCAGTATGCTTTGAAAAAGGCATTCTCTGCAAAATAAAGTGTAACGCATCACATGATTAAAGTGCTTAGGTCTAAGAAAAACACCCAGTACAAGATTCTACACAGACTCATAATTTGATTTCCTAATGAAATTAGGGAAGCATATAATGTATGTCAGGGGACATACTTCTGCATCAAATATTTCACATTAGAAAAGCTTTCTTAGACATGAAAAAGAAAATTATGTATGAGTCAGTAACCTGTTTTTAGCGTTTGAAATGAATTGTAGTGGTCTGGAATCTTGCTCAGCATCTCTGAAAAAATACTATTATTAGTAAGTTGTTGCAGTCTTTTTTTTTTTTTTTTCCTTTGGACTTTATATTCAGTGTCTAACAGTTGAAAATAGGATACAGAAAAATGTGCATAAGGAACTGAGATTTTTCTTTATGAATGGTGAAAAAATTTTAAGACTCTAGGAGCTTAGTGAGGCATTATAACTCAGCATTTGACAAACTTTAGTTTAATAAACTGCTTGGTAGTTGATCAGTCTTTCTGATGTTACCTTAACAGTAAAAATTACCACTGTAGCAACTATATTGCTCTTCAACATGTTAAATATTATCTGTTGGTACAAAGCCCTTTTGAAATCCCATCTGGAATGTTAGGTGGTGTTCTTGTTGGGAGTCAAGCACTGAAAAAAATATTTTTACACCTTTCCACCATCATTCACCCACTCCTATTTAGATCATTAATCACTGCAAATAAATAGCCTTTGAAAAAGCAGGAACCATTAAAACCAAGTACAGACTACAAAAAGCAGGATGGGGAGAGCGTTGTATTGCAGTAAGACTTTTGGGGACAGGACAATAAAATCAGTCTTGCTCTGACAAATTTGTGATATTACATTTGTGAAATGGCAAGAACATTACCATGAGAAACAACCATAGCTCAAATACTCTGGGGAATGTTTAGTTCTCTGTGATGCGGTGACAACATTTGATGTACATGTCTGACTACAAAATTAATACTAATTACATCGTAAGTATGTCTGTAAGCTCTATTCTCTTTTGTGATATGATTTTTTTTATGTTACCACTTAAAGGATTAATCAGTTTGTGGCCTTACTGTGGTATAATGTAGCAAAAGTCTACATTGTAAGAAAGAGAATAATAATATTCTTCACCTTGGTGAATCAAGGACTTGATCGTAGGGAGTAAATTATTTGTCCATAATGTCACAGGAGGTCTCTGGTAGAATTTGAAACTGATTCTAAGGCTCCTGGCACTTGCCCAGTGCATATGACACCATTGGGTGAGGTCATCCCAGCTGAGCAGTTCAGTAGTATTGGAGTCTAAGACTTTTTCAGTTTTCTGTGTTGACATCAAATGACTGGCAGACAAGAACACGTGGCAGCCTTGTACTGCCTCACAAAACAGAGGAGCAATGAGATTGCACAGTATTGTTATCTCAATTTTACTGAGAGGAGGGGTGATTATTATTACTAACCATGTATTTTTGTGTACTTTTGGGCTTAGGCAAGAGTCATCTTTGACTCAAAGGATGGCTTTTCCTCTGATACATGGAGTTTCCTTCTGGTCCAATCAATTTCTTTCATCCTCAATGGGTTCTGCAGTCACCCTCTCAGAAAAGCACTTCATCTCTTTTTCTCATGATCCTGAATGTCCCAAATCCCCAGTTCTATGCCATGTTTGTGTTTTTCACAAGCTAGACAAACACATATGATGAGATCACTATTATCCTGTCATATGATATTTGACCTGATGCTGTCTATAGTCGGTGGAAAGAGACAGGCAACCATCAAGATTTAATTACTCTTTTGTTACTGATCAAGAAATAACTGGTGGCAAATAACGGATCTCACACAGCCTGAGGTACTTACGACACTTAACAATTCATAGACTCGTTTCTTAAAACATTGTGCATATGCCGCTAACACATGGCTCTTGCCTTGAGGTCTAGACTAATTCCATGAGATTTTCCCTGCTGTGGTATTTGTTTTAGAATGTTAGGATGTAGCAGCTTCTAGAAAATGGGATGGTGTCCTGGTTTTGGCTGGGATAGAGTTAATTTTCTTCCTAGTAGCTGGTATGGTGCTGTGGTTTGGATTTAGGATGAGAACAGTGTTGATAACACACTGATGATTTAGTTGTTGCTAAGTAGTGCTTACACGAGTCAAGGACTTTCCAGCTTCCCATGCTCTGCCTGGTGCACAAGAAGCTGGGAGGGGGCACAGCCAGGACAGCTGACCCAGACTGGCCACAGGGCTATTCCATACCATATGGCGTCATGCTCAGTATGTAAACTGGGGGGAGCTGGCTGGGGGGCAGCAATCACGGCTCAGGGATGGGCTGGGCATTGGTCAGTGGATGATGAGAGGTTGCTTCATTTGTTTTTCCTGGATTTTGTTTTCTTCCGATTCTCTCCCCCATCCCTCTGCAGGGGGAGAGTGTGAGCGGGCGGCTGTGTGGTGCTTGGTTGCCAGCTAGGGTTAAACCATGACAGGTGGCCTCGGCAGTTGTCCTTCCAATCCATCAATCCTTCCCATTTTCACACAGATAGGCAGCACTACTGTTCATTGAGCCTCAGGGTCAGCAGGGTGATGGAACTAATTCAAATGGAAAAAAAAAAGAAATGGTAAATTACCTTTTTTTCTAAATGGGTCAGTTCCTCACTCTTGTTTGCTTGTGCATGGCTGCTCAGCTTGCTGTGCCAGCATGAAAGCAGAGTGGGTAGAGATGGTGATGGCTGAAACAGGGAAACAGCAAAGGCTGCTTAACCAGCATGCAGAATCACATGTAGTGTGTGTACAACCACAGCCACAGTTTGACCAAGTACCACAGGCGTGATGTGGGCTCCTTCAGACCTTCAGCTCAGTGATTTTGATTGTAAGAGCCCAAAGCAGTTTTCCTCAGTTTGTGGGAAGCAACCTTGTAATTTTGTAGGAATAATATCTGTTCATGCTGAACTACAGAAGAGTAGTTTGGCTGCATGATACTAAATCTGCCTTCCCCACACACAGTGGAATAATTGGGTATTAGAAGAAATACAGTTTAGTACTCTATTTTGGTTTTGTTATCATGTAAACATGTATTTATTGATTGACTAAAATATGCTTTCTCATAATATTCATACCACAGGTCAGTTGCTCCGTTTGAAGATGTTTCGAGAGGACCACGGGTCTTGGATGACAATGTTCTTCAGTACCATCCTCTTCCTCTTCATTTTTTCTCACATTTATAATCTGTTCCTCATTATGGCAGGGAATATGAGGTAGGTTACAGTTTCTTTTTGTCTCTTTGCTCTAGGATATATTCTACTGGAAGATTTTCATATTATGCTGCTTTACGGTGAACAAGAGCTTACCAAAATGTAAACATACAAATATTCACTACCTTTTTTTATTCCTCTGCTTTCTGAATTCAGGTAGAATACTAATTTAATTGGTTAATTAGCCAAGAGGATTAAAGTATCAGTTATAAAAAATGGGCTCCTAAACTAGTGATAGCAACTATTACATCAGGGTACTAATGAACATTTTTTTTTTTCCCAAATTTTAAAAATTTTTAAAATTTAAAATTATAGCTCAACAAATTTGATTTGAAGTTAGGGCTGAGTAGTTTAAAAGTATAAGCATTACTGTTGTGCATACTCAGGAAATTCAGAGTTGAAGTTAAAAGAAATTGAAACATCCAAACTTGAGGAAGCTCACACTCAAAACACAAACATTAAATGTGTAGTATAGTGCTGTTTTGGTTATGTATACTAATATTTGCTGATCCAGATTATTAAAAATATTCTTAAAAATCTATTTTTTTTTCCCATAAGGTGCTTCAACTGGGCAAAGTTATGATTGGCTGAGGAGTGAACAGCTGTCTTTTTATTACGTCTGGATTTATTTTAAATTGAGCTTTTAATATTAATTTTCTAGCTTAAGAAGACTTGCTTTCTCCAATTATCTCAAAATTAACACCACTTTCACATGTTGATTTTCCTGAGAAAACCTACATTATTAGTCATCTAATACATACAAAATGAGTTCATTGGACAAAAAGACATGGTCATGTTGTTTGTGAAAGGCAAGATAGCATCTGAAGAGTTTCTGGCAAGGAATAAAAACCCAAATGTATATATGAGTTGAAGAACAGTGCAAATAATTGAATGACTTGTTCTTAGCATAATATCAGAGCCATACCAACAGAGTCTGATGAAGAGTTATTTAATTGGCCCTGGTGTGGTGTGTTACAGATCTTAAGTGTGTCAACAAAAATATGCAGCATATAAAGTCCTGTTAACAATGTGACATAAACCAAAACGTGAGTAGGAGGCAAACTGGGTGTCACTGAGTGAATGTAAGCGCAGACCAGCTGGGCTAATCATGAGATTGCGACATGAAGACTAAATGTATTGATTGAGTAAGGCAGGTAAAGCAGCAGAATCACCGAGTGGTTTAAGTAACGATCACGGTAATGATGTGGTAAATATGAATAGGTGCCCAATAAGAGGCAGAATAATCATCCTTGAAATGAGGAGGGTGGGAGCATTGCAGGTTTCTGGCTTCCCTATTTACGTAGTCATACTATTATGGGTATTATGTTAAGATTTATATTTGGTATTTCTAATGCTCCATAAACTATAACTAGCTGTTAAACAAAGCATTAACGATTTTGAAAGCTTGACTCATGTCTGGAAATCAGAGTTCATTTTTCCTTGTCAACATTCCTATTACAAGCTTCCATTAGCTGCACTGAAGAGATTGCGTGGCAATCAGCATCCACGTTCATGGAAATAGGCATAGCCTAGTACTGAAATAGCTGGTGTCAGTCAATCTGCCCTCTTGCTTTCTGCGGGGTGAAGCCTCTCCTTTCCTGGAGCTTATGCCCCAGCCCTAGATTTGTTGCGATCATTTTGGGAAGCTGACAATGCTGTCCTCAAGGAATCACGCTGTTTTTTCAAAGTGGACTGAAGGCTTGTTACAGCTGTTTTGGGTGTCCATTCCAGCAAAAAGGCAGCAAGCAGGTACGGAATAAACAGTTTCAGTCTCAAACTGCATGATGTAAATCATCAGTGAAACAGAGGCCTCGCATCAGTCCTCTCAAAGTCGAGGTAGAGCAATGTGAAGTACTTTTGAAAAGAGGGTTTCTACTACAAACACCATCAAAGCCAACTACTTCATGTTGCCATGATGAAATGTTTCAAGGAGTGGATTATTTTTTCCTGAGTAAATGTCATCGTTATGAAAGCTGTTTGCTTCATGGTTTGTACTTCTGTGCAAAAGAACACTTCTGTCTCTGACTTTTGCCACAGTGCCTCACTGCAATGGCTGACACCTGGGGGACTGGTTTCCAGCATAAAGGTCAGAGTCGGCCTGCATGGAAGTTACAGTCTTTGTAGAGACACACTGACCTTCGTGCCTATGGACTCCTATGAAACACAGGCATCCAGAATGCATCTTTCCCATACAAGGGCTATGAAAGCCCTACAATTACTGTCTACAAGACTGAATGAAAAACATCCCTTTTTTTTTTTTTTGCATGTGTTTGCTCCTTGCCCTGTCTCTGATTCAGCTTGCCCTGTGTGCTGGCCGGAGAGTGCTTCTGACAAGTGTCTTTATGTCAGATGTTTGGTCTCATCAATGAAAATCCCTTTGTCGCTCACGAGGAGAACCCTATGTCTTGCATGTGCGCGCAGCGTGGGTGGTGACAGCAGAAGCACTACCCTGTGGAGGGCTCGAGAAACCTGTGCCAGGAGTGCTTTAAAGTTCTGTCATGTCACCGTCTCTAAGAAGGTATATTTTATGGTTGCCAAGATTTGGGGTTTTTTAAAAAGTATTTTTAAAGACAGTTCACGTGTCTTAGTGTGGCAAACGTAAAAAGTGTGAATGTATCCTTTAAAAAAGGGTAGCAGTAGGGACTGTAGTTTGCTGGGAAGAGCAAAAGCTGAACAAGTTGCTGGTATTTGAATATATAGTATCGAGTTGTTTGCTGGGTGAAACTGTGACTATTTGAACTGAAAATTTTGTGACAGATTGGAAGGTATCTTTTTAAATTTTAAGTCCCTCTTCTTTTTTCAATGACATTTCCTTTTAGGGACTTCACAGTTTATGGCACTGACCCACTGTACCTTAGGTCATTGCTCTTGTAGTCAGAGCTGAACATCTGGTGAGGAAACATGTCTGAAAAGCTGTTGGAGAACGGTCTGGAGCTATTATTTCTTACTGCTTCTCCTCCCTGAAAACAGTAAGCAGGAGCCGAGCTGGGCACAGGGCCCACCTCAGGCCCAGTTGGTGCAACCCTCTGCAGGCCCAGCAGGGTTGAAGCACAGGCTTCAGGAACGAGGTGTTTGGTCTAGCTGGTCCTTCTCTGCAAGAAAGCTCTGGAATACAGAGGATAAATGTGAAAATGATCCAGAGGTAGGGAAGGTTCAGCCGTTATTCAGGTTTAGGTTTAGAGGCCTGGGGAGCGTAGCAGGACGAGTCAGTCAGAACAGACCGTCAGCCATTAGAGAGCAGGCCTGGTCAAGGCTGCGGTGACAATAAAGCAGAAAAACCTGTTCCTGCAAAAGTCAGAGTAACTTTAAGTAGTGCTTTATGCTCAAATAAGGAGAGATTTATTTTGGGATAGTTTTAATGCTTGGACAACAGTAAAACCAATTGTAGAGGATCAGAAAAAAATACTATCTTGTGTGATGCCAGGGGCTGAACTGTGCAGTGGGAATGAGGCCGTTGAATTTCCTCTGTAGTTCGGAATGTTAAGTTTTTGAAGTAGCGAGAAGGGCACTGCCAATTACATCTTCTCAATGGGTGTGTGTCTCCGTTAGCCAGTGATACGGTACATTGCGAGAGGGACTCTGATACAACACGATGTGACGTACATTGGCCCGGGGATCTGTTGTTCATGCTATGAGTCTTGTGGTGGTTTTGTGCACACAAGCAGAAGTACAATGTCTGTCACATTGTGGTCTGTCACGCTTGTGCACAACGGTCCGTCACATATGTACACAATGGTCTTCTACACAGTGAGCCCAGGCAGCCTCGGGAAGAGGCTAGCTGCCATCTGAAGTGGCCCTCTGTGTCAAATCTGTCACTGTCACTTTGCCTGCTCCACACTATTCTTTGCCCCCACATGGCTGAAAAAATTGCCTCCTTCCTTTATCCATCTTACAACAGCTGTGGGAGCCTGTTTGGAGGTCTTAATTCATACTCAGCGCTATGTCCATCAACACTGTCCTGCATATAGTGAGTAGAAGGGTTTTTTTGTGATTATAGACAATCAGAAGATAGTGGCTGCTCTCTTGTGGTACTCAGCTTCTGCTTTGCTGGTTTCCCTTCTGCAGAAGTGTCTATCAACGCCTGTCGCTTCATAATAACATTTTCTTTGACCAGTGCTCTGAAGAGAGGAAAACAGTTTGCTTGGAAGCTGAACCAGAGCATTTCCAGTGGTCACTGGGTGAGGCTGAGGGATGTGAACTGGTGGCAGCATGCCATGATCAGAAGTGACAACGAACAGTGGCTGCACAATTTTCGGGCTCCACCCAGTCACACAGTTAGGGCTACGAATGCACCACAAGGTGGCCAGGTGGCCATCTGTCTGTCTGTCTGTCTGTCCGGGGAGGTCACTGCACCCCTCTGTGAACATTGTCTGGGGTCCTCCCACCCAGTCTTGAACAGTATGGTCCTATTCATACAGTCCTGAGCAGGAGATTGTTCTGCAAGTACCTTAATGGTCTTTGAAGACATGAACATGAGATACTTGTCTTGCACTTCGTCTCCTGTATGTGGCCATTTCTGATTGCTATTTTGGAGTTGAAAGACTGAAAAAAGTAGATCAGGATTTCATCAAAAATTAAGGGTTGTAATGTGGTGGTGAGAGCTGTTGGGATTTTGAAAGTCATGGCTCTAGAATGATCTTGGCTTTCAAAGCACATGCAGTTCTCTCTCAGTCAAAAAGCCAAAAACAGTGTAAAGGGAGTAGTTCCCTCCTCAACCTTTTATTATCTCTTGTGTGGTAGAGTGACCAAACCTGTAGATGTTTCCAGTGTCCTCTTCTTGCACATGCCCACATCCACTGCTGGAGGACTGATCCGCCTCGTTGTGATCTACTCCCTGTTTCAGTACCGTGTGTCCCCATTATCGTTGGCAACCTGCACGCTGCAAGGCATGGTGGTTTCGCAGGAAAGGAGGCTTTTTTTTCTGCATATTAAAGGTTCATATAAATGTGCTTAGTATAAATCTGCTGTGCAGGTGTGGATGGAAGGTTTCACAGTTTAAAAAG